ATGAGTCATTAGAAATATACCGTATGCACACTAATTATCTAAGCTAATGTGGAGGAGTTATTGAGGAGGCTTACCATCACCCTCAGGGGGGACATGAGTCTCCATGGTGGGTGTGGGCTTGGAGCCATCATCTGGGTTAAGGGTGAGAAAGAAACGGAAAGAGACTACTATTATTGAGGTTAATACAATCTACTCTCCAGAACTGTTGAATGGTTGGGATTTGCACATGGCCCGGCCAAGACAGACAGACAGACAGACTGAATAATATAGAAAGGAGAGAGAGAGAGAGACAAACACCCACATGTGGTCCTGCACACATGCATCAATAAATCATCCTCACACCAACATGATCAGCTGCACATTTAGCACACTTACTCACACTCGCAGTGTAAACCACACACCCAGACACTCACACGAGGAGGACACCGCTCCTCAGGACCTGCACAAATGCAGTGCAGATGTAGCATCAGAAAGCTGCATCCACGGTTAATGCAAAGAGGTGAAACTGTCTGTGTCGTCATTCTTAATTGTCAAATTATGTTGTAATGTATCGCTAGGAAGTAGGTCAACTGGTTAGTCCACCCAAAAATGTTTGTTTTTGGTGAGATCTCAAGTTGCTTGAATGCATTAAAATTTGGAAATAATATACTCATGGATGTCCAGGGAATTTACCAAAGTGAATTCGGTGATGGTCTCATCGTTAGTTTACAATCACGTCACGCTGGAAAATTAGTCCTTCACACCTTGGTTAAGTAGAAGGATATATAACAAAACCAGTTTAAAATGGAATCACACGAGTTTTTACAAAAATAATACGAGGTCATTTATTCTCACAAGCGGATACGCATCACTCAAGCATCATCCTCGGGGCAAACTTTTATGTCTTCAAAACACACGAAGTACTAGATAATTAACTGTCTTGGACACTAAAATAAAAACCACTAATAAGCCACAGAAGAATCTTATTAAGCAATATTTTCCTCTTTTTTCCTTTTGTAAAGTATGCCAGTGTAGAAGGAGACTTAAAAGTTGTTGTGACTCCCTTGTGTTTGGCAGATGCAATTATGCAGCTCACTTTAACTACTAACCAAAACTACAAGTAGTAAAATTGAAGATCACAGTATAAACGTTTATTCTTATTTATTACAGTTAAACACTGGTAAAATATTTGTGTCTCTGCTCCCACGCTGAGGGCCGAATAAACTGCTGTCTTCAGTTTTCTTGGTAAATTATTAACTAAATATTTGACTTTCCTCTCTTAAACGCAGTAAATTCTGGCAATGCTAAAGTTCATATGGGTATAACAAAAATACAACACTTTAACTGTTAAGCAAAAACTATAAACATTTCAAGTCCGTTTTTTTACATTTATAGATGTGATTATAAAGTTTTGCAACTCTGCCTATTAAAGATTCAAGAATGCTTTCTGGAAGTCCCCCTCTGTTATCACCTGAAGACTTTTGAGTTTGCTATGTAGCCCACAATCCCACACTGTTTCAAAGTGGCAGGTGAGCAAAGCTTTCATTGGCGAGGTGAAAATACTCCTGCCTTTCATTTCACTGTGAGCATGTGCACAGTGCACACCTAATCTTTTCCCTCTGTGCAATATAGTAGACCTCCATGCTGTCAGTCAGATCCTATCAAGGCAAAGTCAAACCCTGTGAACGATGAGCATGGTTGTGGCTGTCATTTGCTGCCTTTGGATGGAAATTTCTATCAAAAACTGGTGTTTGGTCTCAGGAACCAGAGCCCCAGCTCTCATTCTCCACTATACTCTGCAGTGACGTAGAAGTTGATAGTTTGCTCCCTACAAAAGTCTAAAGTCCATGTTTATATACCCCTTTCAGTTAGAGTAGAACTGATTTCTAAAAACTGCAGCTGCATTGAAAGTAACCCAGGGGCGCCAAAGAGGGTGACCTTGTGGGGAAAACTGGTCAAATTTAAAGTAGCTAAGCTTTTAGGTAGAGTTGCAAAACTTTAAAGGATCTCATGTAATGCTGTGAATTGAACTGCCTAGAATACTCACCCACATGTGGTATTGTAGCATCTGGAAAATTCCTTGGGAAATAATTCAATCAAAAGCAAACAACAGAGAAACTTTGATTGGAGATAAACACTAATGTTAAGTTCTTAAATCAGATGACATGTCAGTAATGTTAAAGAACCTGAGGTCAAACTGACCTATTCAGGTTGAACTGTAAATAAAATGCAGTAGTCACTGGGTCGGTCTTGGTGTAAACCCTGCTAGAGTGTGATAAGCATGTCAAAATAACCTGTAACTTACTGCAATTGTCAAGTGGTGTGAAACGGCATCGGCTGAGAAGCTTTGAGAGACTGCCCGCTTTTTCTCAGTTTAAAGAAATTCTTTAAGATCTATTTTCTGTGAGATTTCTGAAGCAAAGACCGATTTTTTTAGAGGCTCAGTAGAAAGTCTCCTCAGTGTTTCTTTAATTTCTTGAATTAATTCTTTAATGTTCCATATTTTATCATTCCTGAAGGGTGGGAAAAAAAGCATAACTTGAGCAAAACCAGTCAAGATTTCATACAGATTTGTCAAAACTGCTATGGTTAAAGATGAACTGTCACTTGAGGGATGCATTAGACAGTGGTGCATATATTTGAGATCTTTATAATAAATTCAGCATCATTTGCATCTTATAAAAGGGGGAAAACATCTCTTGGTGTTGTTTTTAGATTCCCTTTAAATTTAACAGTGAAGGCCAGTACGTGTAAGTTTGTGTTCTTCACAAATGTTGACTTTGCATGGATCACATGGAGTAAAATCAGGTCAAAACACTTTTAGGGTACATGCACACATAACAGCAGATCACAACTCACCTTTTCTATCTGTGTTTGGTGGCCCTGGTGGCTTATCAGTTACTGACCCTGGGAAGAGGAAGAAACAGTGTAAACCAAAGACTAGACAGTAACAGTCAGTAAAGTTAAATTTAAAGGATTTGTCTTCAAAACTGTTTTTTTTTTTTGAGCTGGTAAAATAAAATAAAAATTACCAACTTACAGCAAGTAAATGTTTTTATTTCTTTTAAAACAGTCGACACAGGAAACATCAGAAAAACCAGCACTCCTACTGATTACCCAATCCACTGGTGTCTCTTCTTTTGGTTAGGTGGACGAGTACATATTGTTAGTACTATACTTTTAACACAGACCAACGCAAAACTGAATGATCTGCTTCATCTGTGGAAATTAAACATGAAAGATTCCAAGTTCTAAATGTCATTCTTGTTTGGTGCATGCAGGTATTTGGTGTCATGCGTGGATGCACGGAGGGCAGGGCAAAATTAAACGGTGCAACCAATTACAATAGAACAGAAAAATGGGAGATTCTTTTTTAAGTTAAAGCAACTAGAAGGAAATTTACTACCTGACAATCCACTTGTCCCAGCATGAGTTCCCATAAATTCACGGAAGTTTCCTGCAAATGTATGCGAGATGATTGATTTGGGTCACAGTAGACAGGCGCATCTAAGCATGTCAAAGGTTATTTGATTGGGAAGGTATAGTAAGGGGCAGATGAGCTGGGCATGTGCTGTTAAACTTTAGTATCCGGAGACACCAGTGGGTTTATTGTGCCCAGATTCAGGCACCAGTGTCATACATACCTTTGCAAGAAACAATGAAGATATCGGATCTTATGCAGGACAGAAAGGAGACAGGTAGAAATTGTGTTGTGCATCTCCATCAGGAGATGGTTAGACTGTGGCCATAAGGGGATTTATATGGTCAGCAAAAATAATTAAGAGAGGGTGTGGCGTTTAAACTATGCTCAGTTGGTACCAAGGGGCCTAAAGTGAGCCAACAAAATATCCCCAGCACCCTTACACAAATAGGGAAGAAGGACTCAAGCTTTTATGTTGTTTAGACCAAATTCTGACCCTGTTATCTAAATGTCGAAGCAGAAATCAAGCAACACTTTTCCAATCTTCTGTATGAATTACAGTCTGTTTCCTATCTTTCCAGGCTGACAGGAATGGCACCGAGTGTGGGCTTCTGCTGCTGAATGTGTACATTCAGAGATGTTCTTCTGCATACCTTTGCTGTAACAGCAGGTTATCTGAATTACTGTTTTCTTATCAGCTTGAAGCGGTCTGGTCATTCTCTTCTGACCTCTGGCATCAACAAGGCCCAGAGAATTGCCACTGAGTGGATATTTGTTCTTTTTCAGACTATTACCTGTAAAGCCAAGAGATGGTTGTGCCAGAAGTTTCAGAAATCCTCAGACTAGCCCGTCTGGCACAAACAAAATCACCTTTCTGCTTAATTCTGATGCTCCTTTTTAACATCAACCCGTCATTTTGACCATGACTACACGCCTATATACACTGAATTGCTACCATGTGAGTATACAGTATATCTAACAAAATGGCCAATCAGTGTATTTTGTATTTTTGGATTGTCAGAATGTTGTAGTTAAAGATATCATCCAAAGTGACATCTTCACATTGCTTATTTTGTCAAACCAATCATCCAGAACAGATTTATGTCATATATGAACAGTAAGTCCTGTAAGTTAAGGAACTGAACAAGCAAATATGATTTGGTGCAGCTCTGTTTTGGAGCAAATTCATTTTTTGCACCAAAAAAAAAAAATCATTTCGGTCTAATGTCTCTCCCTGAGTTGGCTTACAGGGGTGAAGTAAAAAATGTTATGCAAACATTGCAAAGTGATGATGTTTGAGGAAACAGAGCCTCACGGAAAAAAGCACAAAGAATTGTCTGCAGCGTTAAACACAGAAAAGTCACAAAAGTTTCAGGAACACATGTTTTGTGTGGCTGCACAAATGAATTTGCTGTCACTTTCTGTTGTGAAGGGTGAACTGAAAAAATTAAGTATATGCGCCATTAAAAAACACATCTGGTGCAGAGAACAACAGAGGAAAAAAATTATAATTAGAGCTACTTCATAAATTGGAAAATCAGTAAGGTGAGGTTTTATTGTTGTAACGGGTGGATGGAAGTATGATCAATTTGTGAAGTTTTCTTCAAAGCATCAAACAGAAAAATGTGGCACAAGTTAAAGAGACAGAAAAGAGAAAGCACAGCAGATTAGGCAGATAGAGATCGATCAAGGAACTGAAGAGAAAAAGAAAAGGGGAGGTTTGGTTGGGGGTGCTTCATCTGCTGAGCAGTTTCAGAGGGGCATGCGACCACTTTCACCGCACTTTCCACACAAAATTTGCACCATATGCTCTAGTGGCTTTGCAATCCAGCTCTGGCAAAGATCGCTGTGTATTATCTTCTGAGAGAAAATGATGGTGATTATCATAAAGTGTTCCCATCCAGGATGAGTGTGCAGAGCCCCGTTTGCTCTCTCTCCTCCAGCCTGCTGAGAGCACTTAAAGGAGGGGGGAGAGTTTGAGTGCCGAGAGGCCCCTGCATGTATGGCCATTAGCCTTCTCGTTGACCTTGCACCTGCTGTAAGCCACATGACATTTAATACACATGTGCCCATAGAATGGCTCGACATTTACAGACAGACCTTTTGTAACTGTCATCCAAATGCTGTGTTCACTCTTTATCCTCCATCAGGACTGGCAGGCTTCCTGAACATCATTTATAAGTTTAACTCTACCTCTGTGTCCAGTAGTATCCTAAAATTATATAAAGCCTTTGAAAAAGAATTATTGCCAGATGTTTTTTGAATTATGAAAACTAGTTCACTTCCTAAAATGATTGACTGGCCCCAAAACCCAGCGACTTGGCTTCCAAGCACGCTTGCCTGCAAGATCCAGCAAACATAGCCACCGCTATCATGTCTAAAAGCTTATTTTTCTGTTTTTCATACCGACAAGGAATTGTCGGGAAACATTCAACCAACTCGGATGCTTTGGTCATGCAGACTGTTAAAAATGACTCCGAAGTAGAGCTGTTCAGGTAACACAAATAATTAACCATCACTCGTATGTGATGCTCCTCATCAACAGGTTACCAACTTGATTCCCCCCTATTTAGTACCTGAACACACTGGGGTCCTGTTGTGCACAGAGGAGCCACTCACTGGCTTGCCATCACTGGTAACACACCAGCAGTAACCGGTCAGAGTATGGCACTGGACCTGCAGAGGCAAGACACATGGAAGAGGTAAAACACATGAGAGTGTAAATAAAGAACCGGGGGTGGACCTTTCTGTCAGTGAAGAAAAAGCTCAATTTTGGGGTGATCTGAAGAGGGGGGTACACATGAGACTAATGGAAAGAGAAAGATGAAGCGTGAAAGATTTAAAAGGGGAGGAAAAAGCCGCGGGTGATCGGATACGGACCTGGGCAAATGTTCCATCTTCATTGCATTCCGGGATGAACATGGACTCTGAAGACTGAGGTCTTCTGGCTTGCTCCAGAGCCTGGTTCCTCTCAACACGACACTTGGACTGTCCTGCATCTGAAACGTATTGAAAGGACCTTCTGTTCTCAAACACTGCATACAAACTTCCAGCACTGTTTTTATGTACTGAAGACACATGTTCTGTGCCAGTAACACTCTGCTCACACCTGTAAATACAGACACAGTTTACTGCCGTGCCTTGCTCAAGGGCATGTTTTGACAGGATGAAAAAACAAACATAATTTTATAACTTTCTTCTCAGTTTTGATTTTTAATCTGACCCTTAAAACACTTCATCAAACTTTCAGCGTGTGGTTTTTCACAAATCTGAAGGAAAAAAAAGCTCCAACCATAATAATTGTAAAACCTGCAGGTAGCTCAACTCTAGAGGAGGCAGAGACTTTTTAACAGTCTTCAAAAATACTAAAACAACACATTCCTCAACACTGACCACTGCTAGTGCCAGATGTAGGCTATGGACACTTCATTGTTAGTGCTGAGGAGTGCGTCATGTACTCTACATGGATATTTGGAAATGTCAGTGGAAACTGTTCGTGCAGCACCGATGAGCTTGTCCTGCTCTCGGGGCACAGAGATGGAGGTGGCTTTAAAGGTCAGAGAATGAAGTGGGCTTCACACCAGCTGTTCACTGGTTCAAACTCCCATCAACGACTACTGTTTTTATTGCACTCAAAAATCCTGTGGACCTGCGTTCATGTTCAACCGTTCATGTATACACAGTCACACCAGGGAGCTGACCAGTCGACCACAGTCCTCCACTTTTGACAAATATTTTTCCTGGATAAATAAAAGTTTGAAAAAGTCATCTCTGGACCTGAGTAGAGACAGACATGATGTCTCCTTTAAGTATAAAAGACTGACAGGGCCAAAATAGGATGGTGATGTCACTGAGGAGGACAGGCATGCATGAATTTATAAATGAGACTTGTATTGTAGAGAAAATGCAGATAGAATATTGTAGTGAGAGACATAAAAGCAACCCCAAAATCCAACCTGAATACGTCTGATTTATGTAAATGTAAAAAGAAAGTCGAGCCCAGCAGTCGTTTGCAGGTTGTCGTCTCGTGCTTGTTAGCTGTAACAAAGCCGAAACACAGTGTATGCACACAGACAAATCTCCCTTTGAGAGACTTTGAATGATGACCTCGTGCATAATGTGTTGATTTTAAAGCTAAATAATGAATAAGCAGGTCTGCCGGTTGAATCAGCCACAGCTTTGTGCTTGTTGTTGTTTGCGGTTGTTTGTTGTACTTGTTAGCAATTTATAAGCCTCGTATTCAAATTAATCTGTTGTGTTTAATCTGAATCTCACGCACATTTCAGCCAGACTTTGCCTGGCTTTGTCGTTGTAAACAAGGATTGGTTCACGAACTGCCTGCCTAAATAAAGCAGCATTTTCATTACAACAGAACAGGCCTGCTGCATCTGCAAAGACTGCGTGAGCTTTGCCCAGCTTTCCTTCCCTTGGCACAACACTGGTATTATGAAACAAAGCCACATATTACCACACAAAGGGAGTCAGATTCACTCCAAAAATGGATTTAGTCGTACTGCTGTTTTTCTAATGGATAGAAGGGGGTCTGGAAAAAAGGGGGCTACAATGCCCGGTTCCAATCTTGACTTTAGACCTATCAATCTCCGCCGTTGCTGGGTGGCTGGCATCCAGAGACTGAGGAAGTGTGTGAGCCTGGTCTGTAGAATCTTACATGGCTACACAGAGGCAGAAAATTTAAGACATCTTCTCATTTAGTTCCACTTTTCCCAGACTTTCAGTTGTGGCCACAGACTGCAGTTATTTAAATATGCTATTTAAGATTCTAATAAATTAATTTTATTGCTTTTTTTCATTTTTATTTTATTGCTTTTTTAGTGGCCATATTAGGTTATGATGAATTATAAAGCTTTTGCATTTTAGGTTGTGTGCAGTGTTTAAGGTGTCACAGTTCTTACCTTTGAGCTCCACGTCTCTCCCTTCAGATGTGGCAGTTGGTGCTAGAGCCACTGGCAACACCCAGTTTTTACCTGAATGACAAAAAGGTCACAGAGTCTGTGTGGTTTTGGCTGTTGATGCTCTTTTTTGTACTCTTTCAGGTACTATTTAGAGTCGAGTACAATACAAAATCTCTGCACGCCTTAATGAGCAACAGGTGTGACAAGGAAAACTTAAATAAACATAAACAGAACTCCCACACTCTCTTGAAATTAAAATCAATTAGAATATTTCAAAGTATCAAAAATATAAAAGTACAAATCCAGCTGTATTGTTTTGACATTTCAGACCAATGTAAACTATCTACCATGGCAATGCTATAGTACACCATGTGTTTTTAGGGTGATTTTCTTTTTGATCCATTTCCTCTCCAGCCCTAGATACAGATTCAGAAAATGAGCAAAGCATCAGTATAGGTAGGCCAAGTTAACCTCAACTGCAATCCCACAGGTCAGCTAATCTTAGTACAGAGTCTTCTTTTATCCAACCTAAAGTTGCTATGCATCTGCAAGCTGCTTTGCAACCAACCTTCATCCCAACACGTCTCATTAGTGCTGTGTCTGACTTATTATTGTACCTGTTGTGTGCCCGTTGATGTATGTAAATGCATATATGACTTTTACTGATAGCTGTGGACTGTTATGTGTGAGAAATGGATTGTGTAAACATAGACATCAGGAAAACATTCATGTAAACATCATCACTTTTTACATTTATAAAAAAAAAAACAGATGAATCCTACATCTCAATTTTCTTGAATGCACCCTGAAAATAGCTCCGTGTATCTGCACAAAGTTGACCAGAGTTTAGCTCTCACCTCGACACCGGCCTCTGTGTGCTAATGTGAGTGTCTTATCTTTGCAGCGCGCCTTCTGCAATTCACAGTTGCTGTCATAGCTCCGCCCGTCTGAACCACACACTGGCTTCCCCGTCCTTGAGCAGGTGATCCCACAGTCCCTGTCTCTGTCTCCAATCAGCCACTGCAACAACAAATACAGCAACATGTTAACATAACACTGGTGCAATACACATTTAACTCACTTCAGATTTTATATAACGGGACAGACACATTTTGAGATTAGGGACTTTGGAACTTTTTTGTCATCCCTTGAAAAATTGGTTTGTTCTTACTTTTTGGCGTCTACTCTTTCTAGCTCCCCTATGTCTGAACAAAGGCAGCATTCAGCTGAATCTGAGGTTATGCCAAACTAACGTACAAATTGGACTCACGGGTCACTTGCCTATTTTGCTCAAAACATTTCTGTTTTTCTCAAACACTTGTCAGCTGCTGCCTTGCTTTTTTTTTTTTTAGGCCGACGTGACAAGATTGTTTTGCACTGAAGCTTGACCTAGAGGCTAATTTATGTAATTGATCTTTGGCTGAAGACAGGTTCAACGTTGATTAAGTTTCAAAGTAGCCAAACCACACTCTCCAATCGGAATCTTTCTTCCCCTCTCCCAAGATCACTCATGATCTATTAGTGAGTCAATTATACTGTACTGTTGGAACACGGCCTTCTTTCTGACAGCAGTAATGGTCCTTGGCATTACAGATGCCTCAGATATATTTAAGCTCTAAAGGATTTCAGGGGAGTACAAACTTTGCCAGAAAGATGGAGTTTTGTGTTAGTGAGTGGAGAGAGTAGGTGTGTACTGAGCAGCAACAGAGTCCTCTGCTATGGGAAGTGTCCCAGTTGTGTACCTGAGCCAACTCTTGTTGAAATTATTTTCAGTATTCCAACATGAAAACACAAGAAGCAACTGTGTCATCTCGCTAGTGATGATTAGGCTTTTTTAATTCTAAACATGTTTTATAAAAGGTAAAAAAACAAAAAGAAAATAAAAATATCCTGCAGATTAAAATTTTTATCAAATGTGTTTCATACCCAAGGTCTCAAAAGTGACTAGAAGAGATCTAGTTGAATCCAACAGAGCATCAAGAGCAGGTACTTTACCAAAAAAAGGACACACTTTTCCAACCTTCACTTGCCAACTCATATCAGACAATCTGAGGCCATTTGTGAAGTGATCTACATTGAGCTTTCATGCTTCTCTCATTGTAACCCCCACCCCCTCCTGGCCCCAGCCTCCAACTTCAAAACTTTTTTTTTTTATTATTTTGAAAAACATTAAAAAATGTTGCTTGGAGACAGATTTTCTCTGAACGTCTAATCAGAAAGACATGAGCAAAGGGTAGATTGTAACTAGGCCAAATTTCTGATGTCATGAATGAGCTGGTAGACAACTGGATCTCATATACACACCAGACGTTTTCATCAAACAT